CGTAGAGGTCTCGATCATTCTCCAATTTCCTTGTGTCCTTCAGTGCCTCAAGGAATGGAGGGAGTGGTTCATATGATGAAAGAGGAGGGAATTTAGTTTTCGTTGGTTCCTCCTCATTTGGTTGAAAATCTTCTCTGGGATCAACCCCATTTTTAGCTTGCTTTTCTTCCTCATGCACCTCTTTCAATGTTGTCTCATCCCTCAACATTATTGCATTAACATGTTGTCTCGGGTTTTGCTCCGTTTGAGATGAGAGTTTACCCGAGTCTTTTGCCTCAAGTCGGCTCACCGCAATTGAGATTTGGCTCATTTGATTTTCCAAGTTTTGGATGCTACATTTCGTCATTTCTTGGAACTGAGCCACACTTTGTTGCATCGTTGACATATTTGTAGCAAGTGCTCGGATCATGTCTTCGGTGGACATATTTGAGCTTGAGGTTTCGCCTTGGTGATTTGGGAAGGATTGTTGGGAGGGCTGATTTTTTTATGGTTGAGGGTTCCCATATCTCAAATTCGGATGATCTCTCAACATGGGGTTGTATGTGTTAGAGTGTGGATCGTACCTCTTTTGTTGATGAGACTGAAAACCCAAGGCATTGACTTGTTCTTCTTGGAGAGTTGGACAGGAATCGGTTGGATGCCCTTGCTGTGTGCATATGCTGCAGACCTTGACCTCTTGGTTTCTAGGATTCAAAAGGAAATCCTTAACCAAAGAAGTCAAGCCGGCCATTTGGTTTTCTAACGATGTAGATGATTCTGCCGCGACAACTTTACGGGTTGAGGACCGCCCGTTGTAATGCCTAGAGTTTTCGGCCAACTCCGAGATCAAGCTTGTTGCTTGTGAGGGAGTTTTTTTGACAATGCCGCCCCCACAAGCGGCATTCACCATGCGTCTATCTTGATCCGCAAGACCATCATAGAAGTAGAGGATTAGGTCTTGCTCCGTGTATCCATGGTATGGGCAACTAGCACACAACTTTTTGAACCGTTCCCAATAAATTTTCCATTCCCAGAAGGCCTGACACTTAGAGAATTTTCATGAAAGTACCCAAGCCGGTGAAAATACCCAGAGATGATATTTTATTAAGCAGAGAGTACACAAAATTATCCTTGGGTACTTTCATGAAAATTCTCTAAGTGTCAGGCCTTCCTAGATTTTTTTAGTGAAGATTGTTATAAAAATTACTCTTGCCTCTCTTGTTAGGCGGTTACTGGATCCCATGGTCATGCATTTTTATGTAGAGAAGAATAATGAACAATTATAAACAAATCCAGTGACCTTGGTTTCCTTGGTTTAAATGGAATCAATAGTGTGATGATTTTTCTGGGAAATCATTAGTAGGTTACTGACATGTATTTTCAATTGGTTTTGTTTGTAAAGGGATTCAGTTGATTCTTTTCTTTATTTTGGTATGTTTTTCTTTGCTCTTCTGTTTTTAATACTTTCTCTTTTCTTTGTTTTTCTTTTCTTTTTTCTTGATTTGAGTACTTTTTCTTTTTCAATGCATACTGCAACTAGGTACATCATAATCCGTATAACATATCAAGTGTTCTTAGTCTAATATAAGGTGCATCATCAAAACCTAATCCTTAAAATCTAGGAGACCTAACACATTTATAATCAATTGACCCCTTTCACCCTCATTTTTCGTTTCTGTTATGTTGTTTTTTCGTTAAGTTTATAAAGGAATTCAATAGTTTTCTTTTCCTTTTCAATGCTTTAGTTATACTTCAGCGGTCATTTCGTTTCTCGGGAGGAAGTTTGGTCTTCTTATACCATATTACGAGTCCATCCACCGTACATCCGCTTGCATTTTTGTAATATATTGTGAAAATCGCGATTTCTGCTATCTAAGCATTAGTGTACTGTTAATGAGCAACAATCTAATTTTAATGAGTATTAATAGTGTAATAATGAGCACCATGTTATTATTACAAGAAAGCTGATGTCACAACTCAAAAATGGTGGCATTTTCGTAATTTCAATGAAAAATCACAGTTTTCGTTAGATGAACATTAATACACTTGTAATGAGCATCACACGTATTCTACTGAGAATTAAGATTTGAATAATGAGTATTGTGATATTAATTTCATATATTGCAATTAACTTTCTTTTTCTTATTTTATCTTTTATAGAAACTTATCATTAAATTATATCTATAATCAACTTCTATAAACTTCAATATGCAAATTTAATGAAGTATGGTACTTTTGAAATATGCATTGATATGTCATTTTAAAAATGAGCATAATATCGGTATCAAATGAGCATATGCAATGAGCATTAGAAGCCTAACAATGAACTTCAGTATGCGAATCTAATGTCATATGATACTTTTGAAATATGCATTGATATGACATTTGAAAAATGGGCATAACATGAGTACCAATTGAATATACGTCACTAACAAAATGAGCATTGATATGAAAATAATAAGCTTCGTTAGTTGAGCATTAAGACATTTTCATAGAACATCAAACATCATCCTCTACTGAGTATCTGAAGCATGCAATTGAGTATCATGATCTCTACTCCCATGTATATAATCTAACTCTTACATGAATCTAATATGTTACTTTTGAATTCAAAATATGCATTGATATGGCATTCTAAAATGAGTATAAAACCAGTACCAGATGAACATACGTAACTTACATAATGAGTATCGAAAAATTCAAAAGCTCAGTTGAATTCTCTAATGTGTTCAAATGTTCAATTGTGCACATATAATGACAAATCTAGTAATGAAAAATACAGTAATTTTATATTAAAAATAATTTATAGTCTTTTGTTCTCGATTTACAAATAGAACCGGGTTCTTTTATATTGTTTACTCATCCATATTTATTTTACACCACACATTTTAGTATACCACAAAACTCATGTTAGTAATTAACACACAATATTTAATAAACTAATAAATGTTCATCTTAAATTAAAAATAGAAAAAAATTAATATCTAAAATATTTTATATTACATATATTAAAAATATTTAAGTTAGAAGTTTTATTGGATAAAGAAAAACATTAAACTAGCACATTTAATAATATTTTGTTTAATTTTTAATACTTGAGTAGTATTATAAATGTTCATAATAATTGAGTATACAATTAAAATGAAAGGCTGTTACAGAAAAAAAGAAACGAGAACAAACCATAAAAAAGGAGAGCAAACAATAAAGAAGAAAGAATAAAAAAGAAACGAAAACAAAAAGTTAAAAAAGATTGCAGGAGACCGCAGGAGGCCGCAAGAGATAGATGATTGCATGCGTACGACCAAAAAATTGGGGCATGGAACATCATCACTAACCTAACTACGGAGTATTAACTTGAAAATTGAATCAAATTACAAAAATGCTGGCTGTACCATGCTCATGGTACACCCAGCTGTACCATATAATTTACCCCATATTACCAAATAATATTGTCATGATGAATGGATGATAATAGTTTCTAGGGAAAAGGGTCAAACAGGCCTTCGAACTTACATAAAAAGGTCAAATAAGCCCTTATATATGAGGCTCTGCCCGGTCGTAGCCATTTGAGACCATTCCCAGTGGATTTTTTTGATGATTTTTTTTGAGAATCTTATTCATTAAGTCTAGTTTACTCATACCAAATTTCATCTAACAATTCAATCGGAAAATCATTAAAATGAATTCTTGAAGATAACTACGCTTTTAATTGCACAATTATCTTCAAGAATTCATTTGAATGCCTTCCCGATTGAAGTTTTAGCTGAAATTTGGTATGAGTAAACTAGACTTAATTAATAAGATGCTAAAAAATTTCATAAAAAAATTCCACCGGTAACCGCCCCAAATGACGTCGGCCGGACAGAGCCTCCTATATAAGAGCTAATTTGACTCTTTTATGTAAGTTCGAGGGCCTATCTAATCCTTTTCCATAGCTTCTATATTATTCTCATAAAATTTCACCGCCTATTAGGCTTTCATTATTAAAAAATCATCAAACATCTTTGCGATATTGAAATTTGTTTATATTTTTCTGGGACCACAAATACTTTTTCTATGTTTTATGCTAATAAGCAAATCAAATTTAGGGCACGATTGGTTCGAGGTAATCTCTTATACAGGTTGGAATCTGATACCCGGAATGTGAGATACTTGCGTTTAGTTCGTGGGTTTGAAAAAAAATTGGGATTGTTACATTCCCAAAGAGTGAAAAAGGTAATCACATAGCCACTAATGTGAAACCTACTAAGCCCTTAGGTTATGTTACATTCCCGGTTGATTATTAATTTTCTCCAAAAGTGCCTATGCTTCATTTAATCGCGAGGATAATATCATACGAGAACCACGGAATGCAACTCTCTTCTCCATATTTCACACGTGAACCACTGAACATCTCTCTTCTCTATCTTTAAAATCAGATAATTTCTTTCTCTATTTTTCATTTTTCTATAAGTGTTCTTCTTTAACCTCCTTTTCTCCGTTCTTTAAGTCTCTTTAAGCTTCTTCCAAACGGGTAGTTCATCTCCATTTAAATTTCCTTTTAAATTGTCTTGCCGTCTTGTAAATTTTATCTCCATTTAGTATTCTAACCTCTCCGTTTAGGAATATAGGTGATTGAAGCGGAAGCCAATATGAGACAATTGAGAATTACAGAGAAGCTAAAAACTAATACTAGAAAATTGTTTAAGTTGGTGGGAAGAGAAATGTATTGCATTGTTTAACTATGCAATTATCTTCAAAAATTCATTTGAGTTTCCTTCCAATTGAATTTTTAGCTGAAATTTAGTATTAGTAAACTAGACTTAATAAAGAAGATGCTCAAAAAATTTTATCAAAAAATTTCTATCGGGTGTTCCAAACAGCGACGGCAGTACAGAACATCCTTTAACCTATTTTTCAAACATAGGATAGGATTAAATGAATGCAAGGTTGTTTTTACCCTGGGCCAGGGCCCACCCAGGACCCCCTTCCCTCCGCCCCTGCGTAGTACGATAGTATAATAGAGGTTTTTCTTTTCTCTAGAGGCCAGGAGAATTCAGTCATCTTAATCCTCTCCCTCTCTATCACCTCAATCTCTGCAGTAAAAAACTTGACAACAGAAAACGAAAGGAAAGGAAAAAAAAAGAGTGGGACTTGATGTATGTTATGAGCCATGAGAGCATGGCCTTGGGCTCGTTCTGCCTGGGGAAACAACAAAAACTGATTGATATGAAGCTGGTGAACTTTTAGCTTTGTATGGGCATCGTTTAAATCACGTACGAGGTAATTCTATACTCTGTCTCAGCTTTTATGTTTCCCTGTTTCTCCTTATGCATTTATTTTTTTCAAATTAGGATTTTAGCTTTGTGTTTCTTAAGCTCATGTAATAATGGGCGGTTATAACTTATATTCCCAGAAAACAGAAACTAGCTAGAAGCCTAGAAACATACAGTTTTATCCTTCCTGCGATTAACTCTCTTCAAGTTCTCCCTCAATGTTAGATGGGCGATGAGGGATGGAGGGTTAAGATTTCTAGAAGAGGAATTTCTTTTCCAGATGGCAATTATCAAGAATAGCGTGACCCTTACTTTTGTTTTCAACTTTTCCCTTTTAATTTATTCTTTGTAACCGAATCGAATCGGTCTCGTTATCGTTTGAATATCTCTCAATAGATACGGCTCCAGTCGATTTTTGTCAAACAATAAATGTTATAAAGTTTGGGTACATTTGTTTTTTTAGTAATTATTTCAAATAGGAACAAAACTACGGTGAAATGAAAAAAATGGGACAGTTTTTCTCTAAATAAGATCAAATTGGCCTGCGGGTCTTGAGCAAGACCCTAAAATGGCCTTGCACAAGCGATTGGGATATTCAGGATGAACAAAACTATGCGGTTGATGCATGTAAATTTTTTGGGTGAGGTGATTATGAAGAAAGACATTTTAAAAAAACCAGTTGACAAACAACTCAATCAAAGAAAATAGCAAGAGTAAGAACAATACTGACGTGCACTTGTCGTTAGGTGCACTCAAAATAAATAATCAATACGACACTAATACGTAGTATAGTGTAGTAAGGTTCGTATCCACATGGAAATGAATACTTTTCTTTTATATAAAAAGTAACAAGGGGGTTTAGATTTGTTTGGTTTAATAATACTAAGATAAACGACCTATATGAGTTTAATTCAATGAGATGAAGACTTGGTTTTGCTTTTATTCCCTTAATGAAATGTTCGTCGATCCCGGTTATATCTTTAACTATCTTCCTCTCGAATACTCAATCGAGGAGTATATCCAGTTCATCGAGGGTAGTTATTAATAACGAGATGCGTTCATTAATAAAACTTACTATCGAGTCAATATAGAACAAGCGCCGTATATTAACTTGATAGCAGCAATAAACTTAAGATGAAAACGATTGAGATTGATAACCTCAACACAAGCGGTTTATTGGTTTAATCGATATAATTAATTCCCCTTGGCATATCAACCATGAGATGCATGCATTAATATTCCAAGTTTACTACCGTTGAAAGAACCGGATTAATAACAAGCGTATTAACCGATTGATTCTAGTAATAATTAATATGAGAAACAATACTAGTTGATACTTTAAGTAATGTTTAAGATATTAACATGAAATATGAATAGGAATTAATTAATACTCAAGGAAGAATATTAAAATATATGAATCCTACTATGATTAATATCAAGATGTTAACTAATTGTCATCTTAGTAACACTCCCCAATATTATCATAGAGGAAGAAATAGCTATTACTATAACCAATGTCAAGATGTTAACTAATTGTCATCTTAGTAACACTCCCCAACTTTGATATAGAGATAGTATTTTGAAAGAAAGAATTAATATTCAAGGAAGAAGATTAAAGAAAATAACTCACAACTTACAAATTCATTAAGCTTCAAAGTAGCAAAACCAAGATGGAAGAGTTTAGCTCCTCATTTGGAGACTAAACATGATGAAAAATATAAAGAAAGAGCTATTCTATACTGAGCTTAGATGTACAAAGGGATTGTATATCTTTTTGTGAAGGAAAGGAGGTGTATTTATAGGTTTTTTGGGATGGGATTCGGGTACTCGATCGGGTATATACATGGTACCCGATCGAGTACGTGTGTAACACTCGATCCGAGGCATACTCGACCGGTTTCAGGCTATTTTCTAAGAGTATACCCGATCGAGTATATATGAATACCCGGTCGAGTATGCTTAGAAAATGGTATTCGGACCATACTCGACCGATCTTCATTTGAAATTCAAAGGCATACCCGATCGGGTATGTCGGTCTACCCGATCGGGTATAGACATAAAATCGTGGCCGAAATCTTCCCTGCATGTTCTCTTGTCTTCGGATCTGATTCGATTTGAAGTTCCAACCTAATACCCGATCGAGTATAGCTAATACTCGACCGAGTATAGACCAAAATTCAGGATCTTCTTTTGTCTTTGAACTTTTGCACCTTCTTTTCACTTTTTGGGTTCACCAACTGTCTTCGAGTGACCAAAACCTGCTTGAGCTCAGAATATATCTAATCTAACCTATTTACAAGAATTTAACAATCTAATCTATTACACCAAAAGTGTGTAATTTCCAAAGTAAAAGTCAAGCAAAACTAATTAAAAACATAAACATAAATATGGAAATTACGAACGTATCAACTCCCCCACACTTAAACCTTTACTCGTCTCGAGTAAGATCAAATGTTTACAAGTGTCAATGTTTGTCCAAAAGTTCCACAGTTCAACAAAAACACAATACAAACACAAAGACCACCAAGGATGACAAAGAAAAATGAGTTTTAAACTCAAATTACAAAAGAGCATCTTGGGTTTAATGGCCTCCTAGTGTTATCTTCTCTTCTCCTCCTCTCTTCTTCTTTATCTTGAATCTTCTTATTCTTCATAGGGATACAATGAGTGCCTGCAAGAACAAACATTTCTCTCATATCTCTCATTTTGCCTAGGAGCCTTTTCAGGTTTTCATCCTATCATCTCTTTTCATTTTCCATTCTCTCCAACTCACTCATTTTTTATAATCCCTTTTTGCTTAGATTGCCCATTTTGTTGGGTTTTCAACCTAACTAGCATTTATTTTCTTTTGTTTATTTTTTCTTTATTTTTTTTTGTTTTTTTTTGTTTGTGTAAAAGTTCAAAAGAATTACATGCATAGTGCTAGGCAGAAATGAAAATTACATACCATCATGAGTGTCTCCCCCGCACTTGAATCAAGCACTGTCCCTAGTGTCCGCCTTCTCCTCCGTAGTAGCTCCCTCCAAAGCCGCTCCCTTGGCCACCATCTCCCATGTAGGTGTCCCCGCCATCTCCGCCGTCGTACCCTCCACCCCCGGAGCCAGATCCTTCAAAGTTACCCCAATGAGTGGGGTCATACCATGAGGGTGGTGGAGGAGGGTTCGCCATGGTATGGAAGGATCCCTGCTGTGCCATATAAGAGTACATAGGTCCGTAGAACCTATGTTGGTCTTCCTCATACTGATGTCTATCGGCCTCCCTGAGCTCCTCCAATCGTTGAAAGCTGGCTCTTTGCTCATCCTCCAATCTTTGAAAACCGGCTCTTTGCTCCTCCTCTAATCGATTGAACCGGTTGTCCATTTGGGCTGTTCTCGTAAGAAGTTGCTGTTGACCCTCCAGAAGTTGTTGAAAGAAGTCGGGTGGTGGAGGGTTTTGGCTCTGTTCCGGGAGGTCCTGGCCCATGTTGAGATGGCTATGGAGTTGAGCATAGGGCTCGTAATCAGGTTGGTGTTGGGGAGGTTCTTGTTCTGGTTCCTGGAGATGGGGTGGAAGGGCGTGTGTGAAGAGGTAATGTTGCTCCGCTCTTCCTGTTTTGTAGTGGAGTTGGGGGAGTTCTAGGTTGGGAAGGAGGAAGTATATGAGGGGTTTGGGGTGGATGTGCCAGTTGTACATATTTCTGGGCCCTTCGTCACCATAAACGGTGTGTGAAAAAGATGTACAGCCCGAGTGGCCCAGCCAAGCAATGTTCATCAAACAGTAGTCGGGTATAGGAGAATTATCCGTATACCCGAACTTTGTGGCCAAGTGCATAATCACCCCGCCCACTACAATAGCACCCTTTGCCACGCTTTCTTTTTTTAGATGTGCCCACATAAGATTACATATGTTGAAATCTACGTGGATACGGAATATGGCTACTGATATCAGGCACACATCCCCCATCCTAGTATGATGGTTGTTGGGACGTCCAAGTAAGGAGTTGGCGAGGAATTTCAAAAATAGGCAGAGGACGGGATGTTGGACATGACTAATATAGAGTTGGGAGGAGCTAAATTTAGTCTCCCCGGTCATCTTTGTCCATAGGGTATGGCCGAAGGCGGTATTGTCGGATATAGATTTTTGGTACGGGACCGGAATACCAAAGTGTTCGGCGAACTCAAGTTTCGTGATGGTGTGGGTGTGGTTAAACAATTGAAACCTGAGTTTATCATCCCTAAAATCCTCTTCATTGTTCTCAAATTGCACAGAGCTTAGGAATTCATAGATAACTTTTTCGTTTGAGTGATATTGCATTTTGAAAATTTTGTCCATGCTCAACTCATGAAAAAATTTCTTCATCATTTTGTACACTCCTAATTCCTTTAGGGCATCGTGACATAAAAAGCGGGAAGGTTTAACTTGCCTTTCAATTGTGGACACGAAGCGGGTGCGGTGTTCGTTGTCCCTGAAGAGGATGTCCTCGTAGCCCGGGATGGATGCCCTAGTGCTTGAGCTTTGTCCTTTCTCTTTCCTTGGAGCCATTTTGGAGTGAATTTGGCCTTGAAATCCAAAATTTGAAGGTGGGGGGTAGGGTTTTTCGGACCTCTGAAATTTGGGGGAGAATGGGATTGGTGAGTATGAGTGTGTAGAGGAGGATGAGGGGAGTGTTTTGGTGTTGAAATGGGATGATTTGGTGAAGAAATGAGGGAGATATGGTAGAGAGAAGGTGTAAAAATGGAGGTTGGGGGTGTTTTTTTCGAATTGGGGTTGGGGATTTTGGGGAAGATGAAGTGTTTGGGGCTGATTTGGGGTTATAATACCCGTATACCCGATCGAGTATTTGCTGTTACTCGGTCGGGTATGTCTGGAAAGTGGCCTTTTTTAGCAATCTGTCTCCCGTACTCGATCGGGTATGTACTGTTACCCGGTCGAGTATTGCTGGAAAGTTGAGTTTTTGAGCGGCCTGCCTCCTGTACTCGATCGGGTAGTGTGTTGTTACCCGGTCGAGTATTGCTGGAAAGTTGAGTT